CATCACTCTGGTCATCGAGGTCGGGTAAGATCCAAGTCGGGCGGTGTGAGGCATCCATTGAGGCCAAATGTCCAGGCGAAGGCGCTCGTCCTGCTGGCACTGGTTCCGGCCTCCGGGCATTGCTTAGAATTTCCACTTCTGCCGTCTTAATTGCAACACCCCTTTTGCTTGCGTCCCTCCCCCTTGGCCGAGGCCCTTCTTCACGTTGATCATCACCCTCATCACTTGAACTCAAGCTATCCTCATTTGATAGCTGTAGGGTCCGATGCCTTCCACGTGCCCACGATTCCGGTTCGCCAATCTCCACGTCACTATTATCTCCGACACTCTCTACGCCTGAGGAGTCCGGGAGTGATTCCTGTGCGATATGGCGCAAATCAGACATAGGTAACTGTACATGTCTATTAGCTTCGATCCCTAACAAGCTAGGTGCTTCGCTCACCTTGTCGACTCTCGATTGCAGCTCCACCCTAATACGATCTGATCTGGGTGCAACCACTCCGGGATCATTAGTCTCCGTTTGGCTACCCGCAAACCCGGACTGCCTGGATGTGGTTGCAAAGGAGACCTTTTTCTGTGCTATCTCCATTGACTGCCTTTCCACCCTTGATACCTTTCTATACTTGGGCGGGCCATCCATTTCCTCAAGATCCGCATCTCTTACGCGCTTTCTGGTGACTGTTGATTTGGCGCCGGTTGGTTCGGCCGGCATTTGTTGAGGACTTTCTCCCTGCTGCTGGGGTACCACACTCCCCGTGATGCCAGCCCGCCTCTTAGATGGCCGTGAAATTCGCGCTTTTCCTGCATCTATCATCCGGCGCTGCTTCTTGGGTGAGTATATCTCTGCCGGCCGAATTGCCAAATCACGGTGAATGTCCTCTTCCATATATTCTACCCGTGCTATCATGACCTTTTTGCGTTCTTCAATTTTCAAGGCCTCCTGCCTTTCCTGCTCCTCCCGGATGCGTTGCCTTTTGGCGCGCATTGGCGCCGCTAGCTCCCACGGGGTTGGGAAGACTACGGGCGGCATCTGCGCTTCGAGGTAACAGGCAATTTGTGAGTTCCCAGCCTGCTCAAGCGATTTCTTCATTTCTTCAGGTAACTCGCGCCTCAGCGGGATATCATCATGTTCCGAAACACGTTTAAGAATTGGCGCCATTACACGGGCCACCATTTCTTTGATATCCAGATGAACTTCGCCATGGTGGGTGACCATATACAAGTACTCTAGGTCGCAGAGGGAGGTTGATCTTGCGATGAATACGGACGGCTTCAGTTCGTGGATGAAAGTCCAAATTGCCAACTGAATATCGAAACTCGGGAGGCGAGAGCCCCCTTCTCCTTCTTGAAGATGGTTGCAGAGTTCCTGGACGAGCTCAATCATCATATCGGATCCCATCAGACCGAAAAAACTCAAGTTGTGACTGCTATATTTTTCGATAAATGGGAGTAGGAATTTGAGTCTTTTATCGCTTCCAGCTGCGTCCCTCAGAGCACGGAGCAATTGTTGTGTCTCTTTCACAACATCTAGTTTGATAACTTCCTTAGGATCCATCAGAGCCACTAGTGTCATGTTAGTCTATCAATGTTTGAGCTTGGCCATCTGGAATACGTACGCTCTTTTCTAGCCACATCCCAGGTTTCCTCACAGCCTTCCGGCAGATAACCCCACGAGATCAGCTGCTTTTCAACGTCCTTCAGTTTGGGCTCCGGGTACTGGGCGAAAAACTGCAATAGCGAGCCGGTCAGTTTAGTCTGGTGCTCAACCAAGATCCAGAACAGAGCAGCGCGCGTGGGCGGAGAAATGTCCAAATCAAGCAACCTAATAACACGCTCTATCCGACACCGTTCCAAAACGCTCCTTGGAAACCATTGATCGTCAATTTCAACCTGTGGGATAGGCCCCGTTGGCGGATTTTTAAGCAAGGGACTCCCGTCTGGCCCTTCAACATAATATGATTTGATAAAGTCTTCGACAGACTTGGCATTGATCGCAATTTGCTTGTCCTCGCCCCCTTGGGGGCATATCTTGTCGATGAAGTCATAAATAGAAGAGACCTTCTTTTCATTCGATTCCGGGCGCAGCCCGAGTGCCTCTAGTGAATAATCAGAAGGCTGCGGAGTTTTCCGGATAAAGGCCCGTTTTGGCGGGCAAGGTGGTTGAAGCGCTGCCTGATTAAAAAAGCGGTAATCGGGGTCCATGGGGTCGACAATGCGGCCCCCCGGGAAATACATAGTGTTGGGTGCCCATTTGGGTGCAGCAATCTTGCTCGAAGGGAAGACATGAAGCATCGTATCCGGCACAGGAATTTTGCGGGGTACGGACTTGTATGGAGCCAATTTGACACCAGGTGGAATTGACGAGTGAGGCCGACTTGCTCTCTTCATAGCCTCGGGATTGGTGGGGGGTGCTTCGTCCCCCGAATCATTGAGGTTGTTGAAATTGGCGTCGTCCCTGCTAAAGAGCACTCTACCAGCCGTGCGTGCCCTGGCTTGAACTTGCTCATCACTCGGGAATTGGTAGCTGTCCGTGGTATCTGTGGGTGTTTGTGGTTGGCTTTCGTCCATAGAGTCATCGGCTGAGTCCTCGCCCGCGGCCAACATATTGGAAAGGGGTGGAGTCATATCCTCGTCGAGGTCCGCGCAGGGGGTAGCTGTGCCTTGGAGCGGGCTCTCGCTAGATCCGGAGGTCGTGTCGCCCTCTGGTCTTGCCGATGCCGGGCTCGCAGAATCACCGGGGTGGACACCCTCACAAGCGGAACGTGGCTTCCCTTGGTCCATAGGTTCAGATGGCCTCTCTTCCATAAGACCTTTTGTCGGGCTTGGGAAATTGGAGTCGTCGTTGACCTTGTTGGATATGGAAGACTGATCGTGGTGGTGGAGAGCCGGCTCCTGGCGGGCATCCTTAGTGTTCAGCAGTTCCGATCCGCTTGCACAATCATCTGCCACAGTAGGAAGAATAGCGTCATTCAGCGAGGCTCTACCAATGGCGGCGATTGCTCGGAGAGAACGCTCTATCTCATCCAAATCTGCAGGTCGTTCGTTAGCAGGAGAGAGGGGTTTAGTTGGAGTCATTGGTTGTGAATCCGCGGACATGGCAAGCTGATCAGGGTCCCTCCGGGACTGCAATTGAACTTCCGGTGAAACTACCGGGGAAGATGCGACTGAATTCTCAAACGGAGCGGGGGTGATGGGCTGATTTCCTTCAGCTGGTTCGTCGACCGGAACAGCCCAAGGACTTGCCGAAGGGGTAACTGCCCAATTTTGGAAAGGACAAGCAGCAGGGCCACCGTGGGTGGCGTTATTTTCAGGTTCCGTTTTGAAATTCATAGCATCCTCTCCATACCCGATCACAAGGTTATTCGGAGTTGCGGCTTTCATAGCATCGAAGTCTCTCATAGCTTGCTCTTGTGGGGAAAGCTGAGCGTCATCGGCTACGGCGAAGGCAGCGGGGACACCATACACAAAACTAGGGCCATATAACTTCGAGAGATCATCTGGGACAGACGCGCCGCAAATCCCTCCGCCGGGGGCTGCCGGAGTGGTGGCGCCACCGGAAAAAGTACCAATATTGGCGGCAGCACGGGGGCCTGCTCGGGGGCTACCAGATGAAGCGCCGGCCTTTGGTGCAGAATCAAGAATGTGTACGGCTCCCACGCGCTTGGCAGAAAACGAACCCGAGGGTGAAACAAGTGTGCCAACAGTGGTGGAACCGGCGGGGGAGCTGTTTGTAAACATATTTTTGATAGGAGAGGAGACCAGGGAGCCCGCTAGATGGGTCATTAGCATTCTGTTCTTCTTCAAATAGTTCAGGCGGTGAGGTTCGGTACCCTTCTCGGCTTGCTTTGGTGTTTTTGGTGAATTTTTGGTTGACATTTTAATAGAGAAATCTGGGTCCCGCAAGTTAGCAAACGAAGATAGCTTTATGGATGGATAGACAAGTAACCAGACGCACAGGTAGGTAGGTAGGTAGGTAGGTAGGTAGGTGGATGGATAGGTGGATGGATAGGTGATGTAATAAAGGTGATTTCGGGAAGGTGAGAGACCTGACAGCGCGATTAGGATCGCAAGGAAATGAGGTGAAGAAATGAGAGATGAAAAGGTGAAGAAGAAGGTGAAGGAAAGAGGAGAGGAAGTGGAGCAGAAAAAGATGAGTTAAGGTAATAAACTATGGGAACAACAGTCGATGGTTGATAGTTTTGGTCGCTATACCAAACACGTAGTTGTTCGAAGTTGCGGGGTGGGAGGAACAGGAAAGGGAGAAGCAGTGGCATTTAAACAGAGCGAGAAGGGACGACGCGCTGTTTTTTTTCTCGCGCCTCATTTGGAATTGGGGGAGTAGGGCAGGTTTTCGATGGCCATTCTATTTTCATTTCTTGGGGATATATATCGTGAGGGTTGTGTGGGGGGGTTTCGTTTTTTCATGGGCAGTCACTCGGCCGGCTTGCACATTGATATCACTGCTGACGAGAAAGAAGCTTAATTTTCTTTCCACATGTGCAGCGGTAGGATTTTATGCTAAAATGAACTACTAAGTGAAGGAAAGAAATATCGGAAACCCGAGGTCGGTAATATGAGAGCGTCACAGGAAAGCATTTGAGGAGACCTCCGTGAAGTGGAAAAACATGAGAACCTCGGATAATGAAAAAACAGTAATACCATAGGTGAATACGGTTATGCGTTTATAAGACAAAGGGAGAACAAATGTAGAAAAAACCCAAATAGTAAGTAGCTTGGGAGTACTAGGAGAAATTACATGAATATACACTCGTATTTTTGGCGGATGAGCACTACATCCAACCCTGTTGAGCAATAGAAGTCTCTTGGTAAATACTATTTTATGGCCTGTTTTGATAGGACCGTCTGGTTCCCTTTACCCATGCAAACAGCGGTTACCCCATAGTATGAAAGGACTAAATAGTATCGGCTGTGGCAATCTATCACAGTGATTGTTCCGTTTGAATCAGCCATCAAAGCATAGTTTCCCCGTGCAGGAACAAATGGACCACAATTGGAGACACCCGCCCGGACCGGTCAATATTTATATCCCGAGCACCAACTGTGAGTCTCATCCCGACCCAGGCGTAGGGGTGCTCGCCCTAGCCCAAGCTACCAGGCCCCAGACAATAGCTGCAACCCATGTATTAAAGGTATTCCTGTGGTCAGGAGGTGAGGACATAGAATTCGGAGGATATGCAGGTGGCAGGGTAGGCAATTTCTGACAGTGTTGACTTGCCCTCAGGGCAAAAAAAATATGCCAGCATTCTGCAGATTCCTAGTACCCAACCCAGCTAATACCTGACCCCAGTTCAATACTCCGTAGTCTATACCGTGAGGCAAACATTGCGGCTTGAAGGATATTCTGGCATTCAACTCGCCCCCTCCGGATACAAGAGCAGAGGCCCAGTTTCTGAAATTGGCAAGCCTGTAGGGCCCGATGGCTGGGAGAACTAGTGGCGGCCACCACTGCCTAAGATCAACGGTCACGAAAGGTGGGTCTGGATGGGAGGTGGCCAGGCGAATGTAGCAGGGTCCAGACCGGACTTTTACCGCAGCGGCACAATGCCTCGACAACCGACAGCCAGGTACAGAAGCAATCTAAGAAAAGAAGATGTTACTGAGGCGGACCATGAGTTTGTCCAGCCGGGCCAGGCGCTAAACTCCGGCGCAAAATGATGTTACTGGTTACCAGTGTATTTCCCAGTATCCCATGCGATATCATGTTTTGGCAGTACCTGGAGACAGGTAACCTTCACTCACTTACAAATCGAATAGGCAAATCCTGCCTTCACGTACAAAAAGATATTCCGAAAGAGGTCCGTACAAATTAGATTGAAGGCCTGTTCGGCATGCCCAAAGTTCTATAATATTGGTTTTTTTTTAAAAAAAAAAAATCGTACTGTAGTTTTAATAGAGTTAAAAAATAGAGGAAAACAGGAACAGGATATTTAACTTATAATACATATGTTATAAGTTTTGATAGCTCTTGATCTAATAAGATTTATAAGTTAGAAAAGAAAACCTGTATTACAAGCTTAAGAATGCCAAACACATTTGTTTTTAAAAATTCTACAGTCTTTTATTTTATCTTGTGGGCTGTTTTCATGAAATACAATAGCATTTTTGGGCGGTGGCGTGCCGAACGGGGCCCGATGCAAAGAAAAAGAAAGAGCGAATACAACAGTAAATTCCTAAACATAGGTACAGCCTTCGCAATAGTATGGGGTCTACGTCTCTCGTCCACAGCTTTGTTCTCCAATAGTCCGATTTTCTTCGTTCTCCATTCCCTTTTCTCCCTTTCTGGTCCACAGCACATTACTATGGCCAGACACAACAAACCCCTAACAAACCAAGCAAACACTTAACCATCATTACACAACCAAACTAAAGTTTCAAACAGAAGAAACCAAACACATTTTTCCCTCACAGTACTCTGCCAGTCTTTGGGTATGGTTACCTCTCCCTTGATACACAGTTCAGCTTATCCCCTACATGTCCCCCCTTCTCTTCCGGAAGGACTTCTTTTCATCATGATGACAACAAAGACTCCCTCAAACTCACACCTTGCATCCGTCCCCATGTTCTCTTTTGCACAGACGTAAAATATGAAAAGTACAGGATAGATAGTCAAAGATGTTCTCGTTCGATTCCTCCGTCTGGCGTGATAATTACTAATGTCAATATTTATTCTTTGCTCTAAATTCTGTATGTTCTGATAGACTTTTTATCTCTGTTTGGCAAGGGCCTCGAGTGGGTTGTGAGGGAGGAGTACCTTCAGAATTAGGCAAAGAATATGCTGATACCCAATACAGACCGTTGACAGTAGATAGCTTTGATAATAGTTATGGAGGAAGTCCCATGGGCTTACCGGGCTCCGCCGGAGTCAGGAGTTAGTATTAAAGGATTACACCAAATTGTTTAAGAGCATGATAAGCAATGGTTTGCACTGGCACCGGCGCAATCCTGTCTCATGTTGACCTCTGGGGTTCCCACGAGGTAGGTCATATTTTCCGGTAGCATGTGAGGGATATTTGGATACTGGAAGCTTTAGCGACCAGGTCATGGAGCCAGCAGCCGCGGAGTCCCCTGAATCTACCGACAGGCATAGAATGGGATTTTCTCAAAATGACTAAAAGTGTCGGAAATGCGAGAAAAGCAGGGCAGGAATAAAATTAAATAAATTAGCGGTCGAATTGGATAAATCACCATGGTACCTGGCAGATATCGCACTGGCATTGGACCCTAGATGAAGAAAAAAAGAAACTCTTTGGCGGGGAATTGAACCCCGGTCGCCCGCGCTCAGAGTCAACTGACAGGCGGGAATACTAACCACTATACTACCAAAGATTGATAAAAGTACTGATATTAAGACAGATAAACATAGTGTTTCCATCCGTTTGTTGCACCGCACATTTGTTAGTCCGAGACCAAATCACTTCGTCTGTTTTGAAGCACAACGCTAACTTCCGCACTACATGAACCTTAAGAATTTCTTGCCACCACTATCATTGCTAGTAAGCAATGCTGCTGTTGGTTACTAGAAATTCACAGGTGTGTACACTTCAGGATACCTGTTACCACAGGTATGCCAAGAACAAATGAGAACTACAGCAGTAACCTAAAGCATGCCTCATCTTAGCCAACAATAAGGGTGGTGATAATTCAGGAATTTCAGAAGTCTAGGAGATGATGGTTGCAACCATCTCTCCCATACAGGCATTCGAGGAGTACCTTCAGCTCTCACTAAAATCACTAAAGATGCATGAAACTCGGGAACAGATAAAGGGATGTGGGAGAATTGAATAATCAATTCCCATGGGCGCAAATGGACCCTCCTCAATAGGATAATAGTGTGTTACGCTTACTAAAGGACGGGTACAAAAAGAACCATCCGGCAACGCAACGGCAACCCCACTACCACTATAAATTTACTACCCCTACAACCACAACTACTTAAAATAGACTAAAAATATGTGTAGACATACAATAAATATAAGAAAAGCTATATGTAAAATTAGAAAACAAAAAAATCCATACTTGGTATACCATCCCCTTGCATCTATGACAGCAGCAGCTCTACTAGGCATAGACTCCCACAACCTTTCCAGAAAATCCCCTTCAATATCCTGAGTCCAAACCTGATTTAGAGCTACTGCTAGATGTTTTCTAACAGTTTCTGGGCCCCCCTTGGTCTTGTGGATGTTGGAAAAGCGCTGGTGTAGCTTTTCCTTCATCCTCTTCCAACAGTGCTCAATAGGATTGAGGTCAGGAGAATTGGCTGGCCATTCCATAACCTGTATGTTGTTTTCCTCAAACCAAGCCATGGTATCTCTTGCAGTATGTATCCTTGCACCATCCTGCTGAAAGATAGGATCCCCAACTGTATCTTCCACCTCCTGCCAGACATCAACTAAACCATCCTCCAAAACTCTAATATATACAAATCTATCCACACTCTTGTCAAACATAGGAATCAGAGGACCCTTATTTCTGCCCCAAATACAAGCCCACACCATCAGCTTTACACCTGGCCCCTTGGTAACTCCATGAATATAGTCTTTGTGCCACTTTTCTTCAGGTGTTCTGAACACCCATATACTCTTAGGACCCTTAGACTTTTCAACCAAGGATTAATCACTAAAGATGACTCCTTCAAAGTCTTCCTTTGTCCAATCCTTATACTTCATTGCCCAAACTAACCTCTTAACAGCATGCTCATCCTTTAGAAGAGCTCTTTTCCTAGCTCTCCATTTCTTTATGTTGACTGAGGCTAAAGCTCTCTTGACTGTTTGGAGGGAGGAATGTGGTGCAACATCATTGTGCAATTCTGATAAAGTCTGGCAGCATGCCTTCTTAGACTCTCTGACTAGGTGGCGTTGGGTTCTGGAATCGATAATTTTAGGTCTTCCAGGTATAAGGAGGTTTGTTGCATCACCCCTCTTTTGGAAGCGGTCATGGAAAGTTTGAACAGTACTCTTTGGACGGTTTAAGAGCTCTCCAATCTCTCCAAAAGACATTTTTTTTTTCCTCAGAGCAACTATTTGCCCTTTCTCAAACTCTGTAAGGTAGCCTGTCTTGTGTGGAGGCATGGTGGTTGAGGGGTGGTTGATTGTAGGAGTGGGGTGTTTTGAGGTGTCGCACAGTAACCACCGATCATACAGATCCTTTTGGCCTAGTACTTTACTAAAGATGGTATTACTATTTTGCTAAACCTGAATACTCTTGTGGGTCACCAACACCTCCCAAGCAACAATATCAATATCCTGAACACCACATATTATCTACAGTGAATCGGACCCAGGTACCCATAAAAGTCCTACATTCTCCACATTATCTAGGGCCTCAGGTACACACTGTTTACAGATGCAACCAGGGCTATGAGGCATACCCATAGAATTGTGATATAAAAGAACAAACCACTTTGGTAATATCTAGCACAGGGATTCTGTAACAGCTAAAAAAATCATGTACCGCATCTTTATCTCCGGTCTCTTTTTGTTTGTCAGACCCTCAATGATAAATTTGGTTGTAAATTTAATAACTAGTGTTGTTCACGAGCCGGCTCGAGCCGCCAAGAGGCTTGAGTCTAAAGTGGCCACGATACCTCTATACACTGCCATTATCACTCAAATCAACCAAAAATTGTATATAGAAACTTGAAAACAAATACAACTAGCCAAATGACCTTCCCACTATCCCCGAGTCCAATTCTTGACTCGAGTCGGCTCGTGGACCCCTGTTCGAGCCTAATGACCACCTAGGCTCGAGTCCGCTCGGCTCGTGCACACCACTAGCCCAGACGCCTTGGGCAAGGACATTAAGGTCAGGAATGAGCTCGTTGTGGACTGTAACTGTACTAATTCGCAGCACTTGTTAGACGCGACCTTTATCCCCATGGCAGTCTCCGGGTTCCCATAGCTAGACAAGAGAGGATGGGGGCGGTGAAGAGAAGAGTGTGGGCCTACAGCGATATGTTCTCTCCCTCCAAATCTGGTACCATGCTGCAACAAACACACCCCGGGGTGGCCGGGGTCTCGGTTAACCCCCTTGAGCCAATGATCCTCATCATGCGCACTCGTGCTGGAATCCGTAGTACGCCTATTCGAGTTCTCTTCAGCTGAGACTTAATCCAGTCACATCTCAATGACCCTCTCGTCCTTCATTGCCACTTCATTGACATTATGGGCTGCTGCGGCCCCGCTCTCATTCAGAGACTCCAGAAGCATTTGAAATGCACAGGCCATTGTCAGAGGGCGCCCTTAGGACGAAGAAAGGATAAAAATAAAGGGTGGTACTCGAGTGATATTTCAGAAATGCTTTAAGAGGGCGAAAAGTTTCATGCAGGGAGGTGGTACAGTAGCTTCCAGAGCAGCAAAAGGATTCTCCTTTATATTACTCACTATGGTGGCAGGTGGTCAGTCCTAGTAGTAATTAACAACCGGCCAGAAGCACCAGCACCACATCTAATCTCTGTATGATGCAGCATCCAGAAAAGTAGCAGGAAGGATTGTCTGTACAAATATTCACTTGTCTTTGCCAGGCATACCTCCGCCAGCCGATATTTCGTGAGCGGCTCCGAATCTGGGTGATCGAAAAAAAAATGGATTGTTGGAAAAAGAGGTTCGAGGGAGAGGAAGGAAACCGAATCTGCGATACGATAGACGCAGGGAAAAACA